TGGACTTGTGTAAATATCAACACGTTGACATGTTCTGAGGTGAATGGACAGATAGTAAACTGTTGGTAGTTGAATGCTAACATGCTAAGCTAGCGGAGATGTTCAAGCTAACTTACTGAGTAGGAATATTAGGCAGAATGTTCAAAGGTAAATGTCACTAGAGAAACAGTGTACAAGCAGTAAGCATACAGAATGTAATAATACTTTTTTTTCAAGGACAAGCGTATTTGTGGCAGGTTACTGTTTGAGAAGGGCCGCCATGTTAAAGGTTATAATGGTGTTATTACATGTTAGGCAAATCTAAATGCTAATCGTTTTCTTAGATTTTCTGGTGAGAACAGAAACATTATAGGTTAATGCAGTCATAGTTTTGATAGATTTGCTATTTAATTGATTAAACAATGCATGTATAAATATGTTTAAAGTTGTAGAACGGGAGAATAAACCCTGCCGTTGATGAGACAAGACGAACTCATTTGGTCTCCTGTTTTCCTTTCTCAGGGTTTACAATTCTCACCCCTCTTGGGCTCAAGAGGGGCAACATATGACACAATCCCAGACCTCTGCATCGTTTGTCATTTTCTTCACAGTGAACCAAGCTTCTTTTTCCTGATTAAACGTAAAATGTTTTGAACCAATCCGGCCACTTAAAGATTCCAACAAACATGTATGAATGTGAAAACTAGTGATAGAACCAAACAGTTTTAGAGTGAGATCAATTTTATTACCTGGGCTTACCTCTTGTTCTATATTGTGGTTAGAGAACTAAGAATTATTTTTATATTATCTAAGTATTTCAATCAGATACAAGTTTTCTGTAATTCGCAATCCTTAAGCCAAAAATTGAGGAAAACTCAATTACTGACTATTGTTTCTGTACTTCTGCTTCATTAAGTAAAACTAATGAAAAAGAGTAACTCGATTTTCAGGCCTTTATTAGCTCTTTGAATGCACCTTAGATGTATCATATTATCTGGATAGTATACTTGCTGCAAAACCCATCTCCACATGGACAAGGGGCCACCCACCACACTGCTGCCTGAATACACATGGGCTGAAAGGAGATTTTGCCATAGACCTCAGTGTTAACTAAAACAGCTCGCCCTCAGCTGACAGGGAATCTATACAGCTTTCACAAAGGTTGGGTTTTGTGAGGACCTTAGTATCCCTTCTCATTACTTTAGTGCAAAAAACCCGGCTCTCTATCATCTTGGTCTAGCACCATTCTAACCCACAATCAGCGCTGATTGGTCGGAACGCTCACAAGTGTCTCTGGCCCTGCGGAAGTAAAACCACTGCACATCTACTGCGGAAGAAACAGAGAGCTAGCCAAAATATGTCACCTGCTAATATGGGCGAGGTAGATGGTGCAAGCATGTGCTAATAATGTGAATTGTCAGATATCTTGGGACCATAGACTGTAAATATTAACGGACGTAGCGACGCCTTTTGTCCTTCGTTGAAATGTATATGTGCCACAGACATGGGCAGATTCCATGCAGGCAGCTCCTCCCACAGGAAAACGCATACAGTATCTGTCAGCGCACATGCTCCATGAGAACATGTGCTGACAGACTTGCAACACCACCCCGGTCCAGTGGGGGTGTACCCAGAAAGAGAATTATCCAATGCTTTTGTATGACGTCTTCTTTACTCTGGAAAACGGCTGTACAGGATGGTCCAAAAGTCGGCTCTTGGCCCAAAGCCACGTTCCAGACGTGTGTCACTGCTGAGGGGAGTGTAAGAATGTCAAGTCTGGTCTGAGAGCTGAATTCCCACAAAGATTGTATAGCGTCTGCTGACGTTGTTACCCCATTAGTTTAAATAACTATTCAAACTCCTCTTACAGTCATTACTATTTTGTACCCCTGCGTTTTGGTTCTTCCTTGAGTTCCCCAAGTGACAATGTCCACAGGTTCTAAGTCCATAAATGCTGTTGAATGTTTTGGATCATCACCATTGTCCTTAGACCTGTCCATAAACATTGGCAAGGAAAAACTCTAAAAGCCCAGTGAGAGAAAATGAGAGACCTCAGGGATGCCCACATTGAAGGAAGGCTCCGCTCCCACAGACGGATGTGCTGTAGATCCACGACTCAGCCTGTACAACGAGGACCGTGGACTTTTCAATGCAGGACTGAGGCTGGAGAACGAGGACCGAGGCCACGCGATGCAGGACTGAGGCTGTATGTCTCCCCTTTGTTCTCATCACGGTACATTAAAGATGAGCTCAGATTACTGCCCACTGCTCTGAATTCAATATTGATGCACTGAGAGCCTTAGGTCACTGCTGGTGGTCAGGCAAAAACTATCGATCAGACTCGAGCGGTCATGAGATAAGAATGACCTGTTCTAAATCAGCAGATACAGGGGGACATCATGGACCAGGTACAACAGGAAACATACTCTGCTTTTATCCACTCAGGGTGTTCGAATACACCCTGAGATTCTGACATTTAAACCACAATATTGATCCAACGTGGAATATTATTGGGATCTCAAAACTCCAAACTTGGGTGCAGGATAAAATAGTTAACTGGGTAAATATAAAACAGTTATTATACAGTTCTCTCCATGTTTTTGGTCCAGGCTCTGTGGCTCGATACTGAGGAGTTCAGGTGTTTGAGTCGTAAAAGCACAAATTAAATATTTTTTTTACAATTTCGATACAATTTTGAGTCACATTTAAAGCACATTTACATTCTTACGCTTCTGATGCCCAAAACAAATAAAGGCTTATTATCGTATCCAATCTTATCTTAAGGAACGCACAATAAATTGATAAATAACTTCTAAATTAGTTTTTAAAATATATGAAAATCATTTTAGTAATTAATAAATTGTTAACTGCTTTACATACAGATTCTAACATGAATGTTTTTTTTAAGATAAAGACAAAGACAGCACCCACATAAAATTGTCAAAGTGGAGATGTGTTTTATCAACTTGATGAGATTTGAATTATGGTTTATACTATCCAAGCTACTTCAGTTTTCTAAGTAATGTATTCTGAGGAGCACAGGGACTGGCCTCTTACTGGGACTCTGAGGAGCACAGGGACTGGCCTCCTGCTGGTGTCGGGAGTCAGGACTAAACATGGGGAGGCATTTCAGATTTGTGCAGCTAAAGCAGCTAAAACAATATACAGTATATATATATACTGTATATATATTTATATTTTTACACAGTTCTTGTTAGCTGTGCATACAACCGAAAGATTGTACCTCTCTTTTGTATTTACTGTTGCCTTGTGTATGAATGAACTGTGTTATACAAATAAACACGCCTTGCCATAGTGTTTTGTTCACTTTGCCTGTACATAAAGAGGGTTCAGGATGTGGGAGTGCTGATGGTGGTAAAAGGCTAAGATAAAACAGTACAATATATACAGTATGAAATGTTTCAAAATTGGGTCAAGAAATATAATCTTTTTGATATTATTTATTGTGGCCTTGTCTTGTTCTCCTTTAAGGTTTTGCTCGGTCTTTGGGACTATGCTCCATCCCTAAAATCAATACCACTGTAGTCATTTGATCCTTCAGTTATAGAGGCTGCATATTATGGGATACAGTGGCACAATGTTACGCTATTGTCTCATTGTGCTTCTTATGTGCGTGGACATCTGTAATATTGTCTCCAGCCAAGTTCATGAATGACTTATGAATCATATCAACAGCTATGAGTATATTGCATTCAGCTAACTCGAAAACACATTTTTGAGAGGCTGAGCAGGTCATTGTAATTAAGTCAAAATGTGTTCCAATATCTGTACATACACCACAAGGAATGCCACCTCAACCTCAACCCTGACTCTGCCCTCAAATATGATGTGAATCTGATTTGATCTTGACTGATGTCTATTGAATATCATCCCTGAGAACCAAGTGGAGTCGGCTGATTACCAAACAACCATAAACACATGTGCAGTATACTAGAGAATATAGGACATTTGTTTTGTTAATTTTCAGTGAGCCAATACACAAGATGCAAGTTTCAAACAAACCCCAGACTTTGACTTTTTGAGAAGATTAACAAACTCAAATGTGATTATACAAAACAGTTCGAAGTGATGTTGAAAAAACATTAAAATCACAAGCAACACATCCTAGACTAACAACTATAATGACATCACAGGGTGGAACCAGCATCTTGAGCTATTTTTTATTTTTTTTACAAAACAAATACCCCATGCAGATACAGTGATCAGGGAACATCAGGAAATCTTAATATTACAACATAAAATAGGCCCTTTAGGGAGCATCACAGAGCTTGAACATCAAAATCAAACTAAAGCTAATTCATGTGTGCCTAAATCTTGACATTCATATATAGATCAATAGACACTGCACTTAAAGGCCAGAGTTTCTTTTATAACCTCAAGTCAGCATATTGACTTTTTGCTGAGTAGAAGGCCAGTCACTTTGTCCTTTCCATTCAATGACAACATGTGGACATATTGTTTGTGACCCAGGGGCAGATTACACGCGTTTTAAAGCCTTCTAGAGCAGTGTGTAATTCATTCTCTGCCCTCAACAGGGCGTGGGCCTCTTTTGGCACTGAGACTGCGCAGGGCGTGTGTGCCATCTCAACTCCCTCACGTCATATGTCAGCCTCAAAAACAAATATTGCACAAACGTAGAGGCTGGTGCTACTGTATTTTCAACCCGTTTTTTGAGTCATTCATGTCAGACAGGTACTCAATCGGTTTCAGTCTCTTTCAGAAATCATACAGATGATCACATTTCGCTGCGCTGTCTCAACATCCAGGCCCGTTCAGCTTCATCTAGCATCACATTTGACTGTTTTAGCATCGCCATGTCTCACCATCTCCCCCGCCAATGCCACTGCGTAAAACAGCGACAGTCTATAGCGCAGTCTCCACCGCGCTTTTACGCACCATCGCTTTTACTGCAATAGGAAAACAGCACATACCTGCATCCGGGAGGAGAGAGCGAATGGAAAGTGGAGAGGGAAAACATCTCTGCCCTGTCCGCCATCTTCTCAGTTCACCACAAATGACTCACACACGTTTACAGGGGAGACTGCAGAGAACCAGGCGGGCACAGTCCATCCACGGATGCGAGGGTCTGGGTGGACAAGCGCGCAGATGTTGTTGTTGTTATTGTGATCAAGCGGGTGGTTCCAGCTCCGAGAGTCGGGCCCCCAGCCAGCTCTGATGCTCTTCGGCCGAGAGCCTTCAATCACTTGCTCAGCACCATCAGATTTGCGGTCAAACATCCACACGCAGCGGTCAGGCGCAAGAGACAGAAGCGAGAAGACACCGGTGTTGAAAGGGAATGGTCTCAAACCCAACCCCCTATAAAAAAAATTATAATAAAAGATAAAAGTAATGGCAGCACCGCGGTGTCCAGCAGTGCTCCCACAGACGGACCGAAAACGCGTGGTGCTGATGCGAGCCAACAGTGCGGAGATCCGAGAGGAGAGGATGAGGGAGGGAGGGAGGGAGGGAGGGAGGGAGGGAGGGAGGAGGGAGGAGGGGCTGACGGTGGCTAAGGCTGATGCGAAAGAAGGAACCACTTAGGTATAGGCAGATATTGAGACCTATATCTTTTAAATGCAGACAGATTTATTGGCTGAAACTATGGTATTGCATTACGTTGATTTATTTATCCCCATTGTCATTGGGGTTTATCAACATGAGAGCGGTGAGCTGTCCAGAGAAAAGTCATTTTTTAGAGCAAATAATCTGTAGCTCATTATGTTTTCCAGTACCATCCATGAGAAGTAGGTATGAGACAAAATGTTACAACGTCAGGCCACTCAATGTAGACTTTCGATATTTCTGTTCTTTGTTTTGTGTTGTTTTACTCTGGGTTAAGAGTTTTTTTCTTTCCAGGACAGTGATGATACAGACATTTACGGACTTTGGTGAAACCTGCATCCGCATGGGCAAATGACTCTAATCTCTTTTAGCAATAGCACTTTATTTTGTTCTGCTTGGTTCACAAATTAGTTGGTGGGTTGACACTTCTGTAAAGTCCTTTGCGAGTGACCTGGAGACAGGGATCTCCAAGTGCCATAGCCCTTAATCCTGGTTGTATAAATTCATTTCAAAATGTTTACAATATAGGTTATTTTGTTTATTTTTTGTGGCATTTTGCTGCAAAAATAATGCTGTTTTGGAACAGGATTTGACCATAGGTTTTTTTAAATCATTGACAAGGGTGTGATCTAAACACAATGCCACAGGAAATGAGACCAAAGTGAGATCAAAACCATACAATGCCAAAGCCAAAAACACTATTTAGCCATAACAGCAACAGAAATAACTATAATATCTTTATTACTAGGTTATAATAGCTGTATTGTGAATGTAAGCATTCGGTGTCTGTTTTACCTCTGTCTATGGTGCTGAAAATCAGATGCGGAAGAGCTGCAGTTTTGCAAAGTGGCCACTAGTGGGTGCTACAAGTCTGTGCTGTCCTGCCATGTCACGTAACAAATCCACGCTGGTCACCCAATTTTCCTGTGCAAACTGTGTCTCATAAGTAAAACCTGCTAAAGTAAAAGTATATAAATGTCCGATATCAGATTTGGAGATAAGTTTAAAGTTAAGTTGGGAGAAATGAATCGAGAAATATTACAGATTGCATAGTAGCAGGGACGGTAACAAGTCAATTGAAATCCATATGTTTTATTTGCATAATGAACTATGAATTATTTTGAAAAAGTAAGACATATTTAGTGAAAGCTTTTTTGTGTTTACTATTATTTCTATTTATTTGAGCACCTGTTATAACACATGCAAGACATTCATCTCACAAAAAAAGGAATAAAGGCGGAAATTAACCCGGGACTTTTGCTGTAAAGCACAAGCGCTAACCACTGCACCACCATGCCACCCTGTGGAGGTTACTAAGTAACTTATCACTACATTTAAATAAAATCTTATTTTTACTGAAATGTGATACCCTACAAATACAGCCATCCCATCACTGATTGCATTTTCATCCATGTGGTATATATATTATAGATTATAGCCGTTTAAAAAGTATCAACAAAATTCACAAAACAAATGGGGTGGACTATACCATTAGGAACATAGTCTGATTACTAAAATGCCTTTTTAAAACTCTTAATTGATATCCAATATACAGTTTGTGTATCACCTAAAAGTATTAGTGCATGTTCCAATACCATCGAGACCTTTAATTCCTGGTTTGTCCTAACACAGAAAATGCACCCCTATTTCAGGCTAGTTGGAATTCTCGCTCAACTGCTACAGAAGGCGCCAAAAGAGTCGTCGGGTGGAGAAGATCAATAAGATACTGGGAGCCAAGGAATTTTAGGCAAATAATATCAATGCTTGAATTCTGACGCAGCTTTGTTACTATATTTGACTACAATTAGTCTTTTCTTTTGATCATTGACGAGTTAAATGACTCGTCCCATTAGACTGGATAATTAGTTAGATAACGTTACGTTAACTCATTTAGCATTAGCCTGGCTAACTAGCTAACATATTTTATGTTAAATTTATGGATTTACTTTAAAAAAGAAGTGTATTCATTAATTTTGGAAGAAAGAAGGCACAATATGTAATATTCCAGAGTTTTTTTTAATTGGACAATTATTTTTTTGTTCCCTGTTTTTTTTTTAAGCTGATGGCGTGTGCAAGCCAGACATCGTGCCATTGTGCTGGAGAAGACTGGTAATGTTTTTAACTAGAGATAAACATGTTTTGTGAAAAAAAAGGACAATAACTTGTACAGTCATTTTATGATTATTTTGACACACTTTTCATTATAGGTTGGAACTTGACAATGTTGAGAGCTTAAAAGGTAAGATTGAAGTAAAATCTCAAACTATGCTGAAATATCTAAGGGTTGAACAACGCTGTGCATTATGTAAGGGATAAAGTATATTACGCAGGTCATTATCAGAAAATAAGTACCGGCAGGCCGAAGCGGACCCCGACGCGGAGGGGTCCGCTTCGCCCTGAAGGTACTTATTTGACCTGCGTAATATACGTTATCCCGCTTATTATACGGCTTTATACCAACAGAACACACAAACATAAACTTCAGTCCACTTTTAGGGATGCCGAAAGGTTTATTTAATGACAGATAATACAATAGTTCCCAAAGGCTTTCCCGTGGCTATGCTAGCAACAGTTAGGCTATCAACTTCCAGAATAGAACTCCCTGGGACTGCATGAAAACTGAACAAAGAATTCTGAACATCAGCGGTGAGTGACCCAAACATAAACCTAACCTAAATCCATAATTCGATCCTCTGCAAATGTGTCCAATAATGTGCCGGTATCTTAAAATGTGCCAATATCTAAATGTGGAAAATTCATTCTGTCTTCTTATGTTTACGGCTTTTTAGGTTCTTCTAATAAGACAATTAAACAGTCTGATGGATCTGTGAGATCTGTCAGACTGACGGCTTCCGGCAACAACAGCTGATAAGAGACGCGTCACACCATCACGTGTCACCTCTGATGAAGGCGGAAGTGTACCGCCGAAACATGTCAGGTATTTAAGCAGTAGCTTTTTTTGCTTTAATTGTCTTATTAGAAGAACCTAAAAAGCCGTGCCGATATCTACTTCCGGGTTTTTTGGGATCGCCTTTTCTTGCATTACATCAGTGTTTTTGTCATGAAAACGTAAACGGAAAATTCTGAAAACTTCTGTGCACTTGTATTAAGAATGTATATGTATAATGTACTCTCCAATTAACATTTCATTGTGTTGATTGATTGGCATTTGCGTTTATTGGGCGTGGCTAGCTCCGGAGTGGCCGGAACTACTTGCGGTGTTATCCACACATCTGAAATACAAGCAGAGAGTGCGTTGCCACGGGCAGCGGTCCTTATTGTTTTGAGAGGTCCGTTATAGAAAATAATGACCGGTAGAACGTTTTGAAATTACATTAAAATCAATGGAGCGTTCTACTTCTGTGTAGAAGTGTAATGGAGCTGTGTAATAAGGTATAATAAACTAAATTTATGTAATAAACTAAATGCATGTAATTTTGTATGACAAAGAACTGCCTCTCCACATAAGAGTTCCACAAATGCTTGACCATCTTAAAACCCTACTTAATACATATTTTCACTCCAACAGTGTTGGAGTAAAAATATGGAGTAAGAATCTGAAATTTTCATGATTTCTTTCCTGTTCATTATGTATTTTTTACTGTAGATCTTTACTGTGGTCAACAGCAGTTGTTTTTAAATGTGCTATATAAATACATTCGATTTTATTTAATAAAAGTTAACAAAAGAGCCAAAGAACCATTAGGTGTGCAGCCAGATTGCTATGGCTAAACTTTAAAGTATATGTATTTGGTTATTTTGTAATCAAAGTCATGCTTTTTTTTAGCAGCCTTCAGACCTTTGTGGATGCTGAAAGCCCAAACTTATCAGAACCACAAAAACGGAAGGACTCAAAATGCAACGACTCCAGAATACTTTTAATACAAAATAAGGCTTGATGGCTTACACACAGGGTACAAGACAATCTGGCACAGAAACAATGAAACAGGGGGTTTAAGTACACTGGAGGGAGTAGACAAAGGGACCCAGGTAAAACACATTAGGGCGGGGCTGGTAATCACAGGTGGGAAGGCAGACAAGGACCGGGAAGTGAACAGCTCTGCAATGAGACACACAAGGTAAGTACAAAATAAAACAGGAAGTCAAGTCTCAGGACTGGGTTGTGACAAAACTCATCTAATGCGTCTTAATATAAAATACTCTTTCCTATCTGTGAGGGTTCGTTTAAAAATGCAGCCTCGCAGAAATTCAACTTTGGAAGACTGACTGCTAAAGCCATCCCTTCCAGGCGGCCTCGTATCCTCAGCCTATCGCACAAGCAAACGCCCATTTCCTACCAACCTATGCAGGTCAAGGTCAGGTTCTCGAAGCCTTGCAAACCACCGCCTCCCCTCCTCCTCCTTTTCTCACCCTTCCTCAAGCATGCCTCTTTCCTGCTGCCCGAATGCCACCACCAGTGCCTATAGGTCCCAGGGGGATTGTGCGCACACACACGCAGGAGCCTCGCTGACTGAACCATAGACTGTATATATTAATGGACAGAGTCACGCCTATCTCTGCCGTTCTAACTAATGGGCCAAAAAATGTGCTCTACTGGAGCAATCCAAAATGGCCGCGAGTGGTCCCGCCCACAAGAAAATTGTGGGCGGGAAAAAAACGCATCTGCGCATGCGTAAGCCGGTGCAACTCCATTCATTTGAACGAGAGACTTAAAAAATTCACAGCAAGTAAACTAGAGTGGACCAAAAAAATCCCCCCCCTCAGCATTGACACTAGGGGTGGGAACCTAAGGGTACCTCACGATACGATACGATACACGATACAAAGCTCACAATAACGATAATATCACAATAACGATATTACGATAACAATTTTATCACAATATGACGATTATTGATATATTGGTCAGAAATATACAATATGCCAATTTATGGCATAAATAAAAGAACAAATACTCTTGATTTCATGGTTAATAGAATGGAGATGCGTAATGTAGCCATATATTAAGTATTGATGCAAATAAAATAAAAAAAATTAAATTGTTTTTTTCAAAATCGATATCGATACTTGGCAAATGCATATCGATAATCAAATCGCGGGAGAAAGTATCGCGATATATCGAAAAATCGATATATCGTCACACCCCTAATTGACACACATGTGGAACGGAGCTTTGGGCCAAGAGCCAACTTTTGGTCCATCCTGTAAAGACGTTT